CTGTCAGGACTCGGGCACTAATATGCCCACGTAACAATGCCGACATAACAACATTGATTTGCAACATGCGATTACGCTTGTTTTGTGGCTGTTAAAACGATTTAAGATCGCCAATAACATAGGTCCTTAATAAAGATCAACAAGAACAGACTAAAAAAGCTTGTCTCACCAAGCGAGTAATATTTACTTGTTTAATTAACACTTCATTCCATTAATTTGTTAAACATATTTGTATACACAGAAAAAAACGATCAATTTGATATGCACATGGTAAATCTGTGTTTTTTAGACACATATCATTTTTACCATTAAATAATGTCAAATTGATATCAAAAAATGTCAAGTTGTCGATTTCTCTTTTTTCGGAAATTCTTTGACATCGTAAAAGAGAGGATATAGCAATATGAAGACATCAATCACGTGAGTGGAAGCGAAAAAGATGTATTCGAAATTCGAGTTGGCCGACTTCGATCATGTTGTCTCGCTTGCACTAACATACGTTTTTGGGGGTTTTTTTGCCACTTGAGTTTTATCGTGAAGCTGGTCAGACGTACAATGTCAGTGTTTCCCTAAGAGCGCAGAACAAGGAAAAGGTGAGTAAACTTCATATCAAACAAAAACACCTCCTAACGAAGTAAAAAAATAGTGACGACCGCACCTTTAACATACAAATGTCCTGATATCATAATTTGTAACAAAAAATAATTTTACATTCGAAAAAAAAACACTTGCCAAAATTTAGTTTTTCGGCCCGCTTCAGAAAAATATTTAAGATTTTACACACTCGAACATTTTCTATTGTAGTGTGTTAATAACTTTCAAAAGGTACTTTTTACAGCAATGTGTCGCACGTCAAAGGTTGAGGAATCACAAGAACTACTTAGCTTAAAATTTAATTTGAAATCGTAAAAGCCGTTTCTAAGCAATCAGAAACAAAGCTGAAGAAAATCGGAAAAAAACTTTCGCCCATAATTTTTAAACGGTGGTATTTAGACAAATCATGTTTGAAAGACGTAAAAAGTATTTCGAAATACCTTTCGAACGAAAGCCTGTAGTTTTAGTAGTTGACAAGTTACGGGTGTATAAAAGTAGCTAGTTTTAGCTGTTTTTCCGACAAACTAGCTAGTTTTTCCAAAAGTGGTAAAACTAATGTTTCTTATATTGAGCTGTTTAACATTATCTAAAATATCCAGGATCCTAAAACATAATTTTGGGAGAAACGGACAAACTGACATACTGACAAACAGAATTATTTTTATACCCGTTACTCGTAGAGTAAAAGGGTATACTAGATTCGTCGGAAAACATGTAACAGGCAGAAGGAAGCGTTTCCGACCCCACAAAGTATATATATTCTTGATCAGGATCACTAGCCGAGTCTATCTAGCCATGTCCGTCTGTCCGTCCGTCCGGATGAACGCTGAGATCTCTGAAACTATAGGAGATTTGGCATGCAGATTCCTCAGCTTCTTACGCAGCGCCAGTTTGTTTTAGCAAAGTGCCACGCCCATTCTAACGCCCAAAAATCGCCCAGCAGAAAAAGCACATGTCGAGCGCTTAATTAAGCAGCAAAAAATCACATGTTAGGCAACTTTTCACGGAGTCGTTGACGTTGCAACGCCTTTTTGGCAGGCTCCGAGGGCTCCACCAGAGCGATTGCCGAGTGACCGAAAGTAATCGTTATTTGTAAGTTTTATTTATAATAAAGAAAATGTTATCTTTTGCATTTAAAGAAAATCACAGAAGTCTTTTAAAAATTAAACTTACACATAAACTTAAGCTTAAATTTTAAAAAACAAGAGAATAAATTATGAAATTTTTGTTTTCGGTCACTTGATTTTTTATTCTTTTTTGTAAAAAATTATAAAGAAAAATATACCACACGTTATTTATATACCTTTGTATTATTTATTAAAATGTTTTTTATTTTGCACTTGCGGGAAAACTAACTCTTTTCCAGGGACTAAGAAATGAGACTTTTATTTAAATAGCCATGTTTGTTTACGTACACAAAAGTAAAAACTGTGGTTTAATGTTATTAATATTCATTTTTAACGAATTTTAACCACAAACATAAGTTTTAAAAACAAACATCTCTTATTTTTGATCTTTAGGAACTATGCACTCAATAAGATTTTTAAATTCACAGATTCATTTATTTGTTTATTTATATGCATAATTTTTTGTTTTTCACGTAAAATTAATATTTTTCACAGCTATTTTTTTCCGCCACGTGTTTTTTTGGGATTCTTGTATTTTCCTTTGCTTTAATATACATTAACTTGTTTTTACTCTCACTGTTTAAATAAATATTGGTCTGCGACAGACTTACCTGCGAATCGTATAGGTATAACTTTTAAACCACTGGTTTATTTCGTGTAACTACATTAGTTGCGGGTAATTCGAACTCCTTCACATAAGTTAACGCAAGTGAGAAAGACGAACAAATGCGCGTTTACCAGAAAAACAACAAGCAACAACAACAACAGTAATAAACATATAAAAATATAAAAGATACTCAACATGACCATACCCAACAAATCACCAGTAGCCAAGTTGGGAACAGTACCAGGCGCTCAGTAGGACTCACTACAGACTATCTCACCGTCTCACCGACTCAACGGCTCACTGACCCGCCAATGCAGTCAGCACATGTTGCAGTGTCAGTACCAGGCGTTCAGTAGCACCCACTGCATTGCTGCTCAGCATATTATATGTCTCACTAACATACCGTCTCACCTACTCAACGGCAGACTGACGCGCCAATGCAGTCAGCACATGTTTCAGTTTTAGCTGAGCCAACTGCACCATAATCATAATTCCCTGACCTACTTTAGAATATAGCTTATTTCACTAATCATTACACTAAGCTTCCGTGTTCCAAGTATATAAGCAGGTATCAAATGAAGAACAAATCAGTTATCAACGCATCTCATAACTCCGCGGTTCTACTTCCTACCCCTGGGAATAGGGCTCGTTATACAGTATCTTCACTAGCAGCTAACCAACGTTAGCTCAACCTCAGCGCAGCTCCAGCATCGCCTGTGCTCCGGAATCGCAGTAACCATCGTTACCATTGCCGCGACGCGGTCGTCCTGCCAGCAAAGCGTTCCCGTGCCAGCGACAAGTGCTCATTACCCCCTTGTCCCGCTGTGTGACCCGGAAGTGTCTACTTCGGTTAGGCACAAACAATTTTAATTGGTGGTCTTAACATTTACGAAAGAATGTCGCATTATTCAAAAGGCAAGGGTGCACAAAAGTCCAGCTATTTTAGTTGCTGGGCCTCCTTCCCTTCACACACACTTTTCCAGCTAAGACATGGCGAGAGAGGGAGAGCCCAAAATAACTTTTTGTGCGTTCTGTTTGCGGACCCCGACTGAGAGCGCGTCGCTGCTCTGCCGACGTCGCAGTCGGCTTCGTGATGAATATGGAACTGCAGGGTAAGTACATACGTATGTACGTAAGCTTGTGCCAGCGTGAAAACAAAATTAATAATGATGTACATTTACAATAAACATAATTGCACTTAAACATAAACATATTTTAAAATGCGCTTAAATTTATGTTTAGATGTATGTACATGCCTATTAATTATTTTTTCTACGCCGCCCTGCAAAGTCGCTTTTCAAACGCGTACACATGTACATACATATGTATGTATGGACAGATGCACGTAATTTTCATTGGCTTTCATAAAATTTTGCATATTCTTGAATGTTTTTCAAAAAAAATATTTGTTCTTACTCAATTAATTAAGGTTTCAAATTTTAGCGAGCACTTTCAAGCTTATGTGGTGGATGTCGAACTGGTATCTTATACGGTTGTATAAAATATATTATTATAAGATAATCACAATTAAGAAATTTTAGTTAATAAGTATACATAAGTAAAAAAAAGACCCAATGTAAATATCTAAACTAATGTGTAAATAAGAAATACTGTTAATATTTTGTACAAACTGTAAATAGGTAATAAAACGTATATGAACATAAAATAAAATAAATAATAAAATTATTTGATATATTGTTTTTTATTTAAATTTGAGTATATTAATTATAATATTAAATGAACAATAATATTAATTTGGTATTTTTAATATCCAATCTACTACAATGTACATTTACAATTATAATATCAAATTTACAACAATATCCAATTTACAACAAAAACATTTCAAACAAGAACGGAAGTTAGCTTCGGCAAGCCGAAGTTTGTATACCCTTGCAGATATAATTATAAAATTTAATTCCAAAATTTTAAAAATACAAAAAATTATATTCCGAATAGTATAAGATAATATGTCAAAAAACACCGAAGCTATAATTTGTGTCATATTGTTCTTCCACCAATTTTCCGTTCCTATGGCAGCTATATGATATAGTCGTCCGATTTTGATAAAATTAAATTCGAAATTCAGAACTAATTAAAAAATGTTATTTCCAAGCGTAGGAGGTTATATGTTGAAAAACACCAGAGAAATAATTTTTTTAATTTTTTTCCCGATTATTACTATGGAAGCTATAAGATATAGTTGTCCGATCCGGCTGGTTCCGACTTATATACTACCTGCAAAAGAAAGAAGACTTTTGGGAAAGTTTCAGCCCAATAGCTTTAAAACTGAGAGACTAGTTTGCGTAGAAACAGTCGGACAGTCGGCCAGACGGACATGGCTAGATCGACTCGTCTAGTGATGCTGATCAAAAATATATACACTTTATGGGGTCGGAATAGTCTCCTTCACTGCGTTGCAAACTTCTGAATGAAATCATTATACCCTCCGCAAGGGTATACAAATTGATACCGCTATAATGTAAAAATAATATTACCGAAATATCGTTTTTATCATTTCGAACATATCAAATTTCTATGTGCCGTATCAAGACCGAATTAATACTGGATTTCATCAAATCATATTAATTTTTCATTCTGTTTAGATTGAACTCCAGATGTCTTGTACTTAGTGTAGTGTAGTGGTTATATTATTAATGTTTTTTACTGACCTGTTTTATTTCTAGTTTCATTTGTAGTTCCATTTAATTTGTGGCTTACTTTCATAGCATTTTTTGAATTTATAAAAGTTTCCTTATTCATGGTCTGTAAGAGAAAAGCGGAAAAATTGGTGTTGTTGTTCGACGTGGCGCCACAGATATATCGGGACGGTTTTCCGTCCTGAAATTTAGAAAACTCCAGGTTCCACAAAAACTGAAGGGTTTTCGTTTTCCGTGACTTTTTTGCAGTAAACGGACTTTACTTAGAACGCTGTCACACTAAAAAGAACCGAAGTAATCTCAATATAATGCATTTTTGCCGCACACTCTTTTTAAATTATTAATATCAACATTTCAATTTGAATTACCCGACAAATGAATGCCAGGCCTATTTGCGCTTCATTATAAAAATCAATTTTCTTTTGCTTACCCTTTAAATGGCGATCAAAATTTCTTAAAATTCTGGTTTGCCATTATATTATTAAATTAACATTCGAATCGTTCAAACATTCCATTCTCGTCGTCATTGACGTCACAGTAGATAAAAGTGAAATGTGTAATATGTAAAAATGTAAAGTAGATAAAATGTAAAATGTTAAGTAGATTAACTCAAACGAAAACACCTCTATACGAAGTAGAAATATAGTGACAATCGCACCTTCAGCAAACAAAAGTTTTGATATCAACTTTTGTGACGAAAATGTATTATACAATCTACTAAATAAATACAATTTCTAAATTTTTTTAAAATTATATCGACATTATGCTACTACAAGTTTCAAGTAAGAGGCTACACTTTCTACCACACAGATCATCCAGACGGTAAAGCCCACGGCGGAACCGACATCTTAATCAGGGAACGCATCAAGGGGGTAACGACTTAATTTCGCCGTTTTAAATCGCTTAATTTCGCGCGATCTTATGACGTTTAGCAGCGACATAGTTTCGTCAGAAAAAAACGACATAAGTTCGCGGACCAAATGAACTGGGCGGAGTAATGACTCTATGCCCGCATCAAGCACTACTTTCACCAAAGGTTTGCAACTAATTACTTGCACGCCACGTCTATCAAGGTGAAGTCAGGTAACGGAAACCTCTCCATAGCCGCTTTCTACTGCCTGACTCGTTTTACAATTTCTGAAGGACAATTCATGGACTTTAACAACCTACTTGGAGGTCGCTTTATAGCTGCAGGAAACTATAATGCCAAACACACGCACTCGCGCCCCGTGACTCCCAAGGAAAGGCAATTATATAATGCAATCACAAAACCGAGCAACAAATAAGACTATTTTTCCCCTGGCAGCCCCACATACTGGCCAACAGACCCCAGGAAAGTTCCAGACTTAATAGACTTTGCGGTGACAAGAAACATACCACGCAATATAATAAGGGCCAAAGCGCTGTCGGACCTCTTATCAGACCGTTCGCAAGTGCCCAAAAACTACATAACCAACTGGTTAAAATATAAAAAGTATGTAAGTTCACACATCAAATTAACCCCTCAGTTCAACATCGAAGCGGACATCGACTGCTCTGCAAGAAGCAGAAAATGCGCAACTGCGGTACAGAACATTTTCACCCGAATCTGAGCTCTCTTTTGTTTTACATCTCCGAAGCGTCTTCCACGCGAACCCTGCCACTGTCCTACCACAAATCGAATCTAAAACTATTTCCTTACCAACATTTCTTCAGCTAAAAGAGATCGCAAAAGTCAAGGGGGAACTGAAACCGAAAAGGACTCGGGCGGTGACCTAATAACCCCAAAAATGAAATCTTGGCTACTATCCGTAAAAATGAAAAAAAAATCTATTATCATAATGATACCGAAGCCAGGAAAAGACTACACAATTCCTTCATCCTACAGACGAATAAGTATATTATCGTGTCTGTTTAAGTTGTTCGAAAAACCATTGAACAATCGAACAAGCTAACAGAATAACATCAGAAATACGCACAGCCTTTGAGCATCGGGAATACTGCAGCGCAATATTCCTCGATGTATCTCAAGCCTTCGATCGAGTATTGCTAGATGGCCTTATGCACAAAACCAAAACACACTTGCCTGATTACACTCACCAGCTACTTGAGTCGTATCTCTACAACAGAGTCTTCGCAGTAAGGTGCAACACAAAAACATCTGACGACTACATTATCGAAGCTGGAGTCCCACAAGGGAGCGCACTAGGGCCTAATCTGTTCGTCCTATACACAGCGGATATTCCTTCGAACGATCAGCTAACAACATCTACGTTCGCTGAGGACACTGCAACTCATGTGGCTTGAGGTGCCCAGGCCGAGCAACAACACAGCTAGCCAATCGTCTCCTGGTAGTAGAGAGTATTAAAATAAATGAACAAAAATGTAAACACATAACGTTTACTCTCTCTGCTTATTGAATAGTAAGCAGATTCCCCAAGTCATTGAAGTATGGTATCTCGGCGTCCACTTTGAGAAGACACATCGATCGCAAGAATGTACATCTAATACTAAAGTCCAGCAGCTTCCACTGGGTCTGCGGCTGGACTATATGGTTCTGCTCCACAACTCCACTCTGAAGCCCATCTGGACAGGCACCCAGCTATGGGGGAACGCGAGCAGCAGCAACGTAGACGTTATACAGCGCGCTCAATCGAAAATCCTACGAACTATCACTGGGGCACCATGGTATACTCGCAACCAAAACATCCACAGGGACCTCGGCGTTGTTGCCGTAAAAGATGAGATAGACAAACAAAAAGGGTCCTACAATGAAAAACTCTCTATGCTCCCAAATCGTCTCGCAAGAGGCTTGACTTGGGTTTCCCAGATCCCTCTTAGCAAAAATATCATCTGCAAGGATGCAGTAGGCCAATATAACCGTTTTTTTCCAGGACACTCCTTTGCGTTCCTTTTGTAGGATTATTCAAAAATTGTCTAAAAATCGGCACAGGAAAGCCGTGGTTTCAAAATGAGTTTTAATTTAAATCCAAAAAATAAAAATCATAAATAATCATTATTTTTGAAATTTTTGCTCAATTATAATGATTATTTTTGATTTTTTTTTTAATACAAAATAATGATTACTTTTTCAGTTTTAAAATAAAACTCATAATGATACGGTCCCTGGTAAAAATTGAAAATCTTTTAAGATGACAGTTTTTATACCCGTTACTCGTAGAGTAAAAGGTATACTATATTTGTCGGAAAGTATGTAACAGGCAGAAGGAAGCGTTTCCGACCCAATAAAGTATATACAGGGTGTCCCATCTAGACATTTCGATTGTCATTGTCAATGTGTCAGATATTTAGTAGAAGGTTTGCGGTTTACGAAATGGTTAAGTTTACGCTCGAAGAAAATTGGGAAATATTGAAAACTTTCTTCCAAAGTGGAGAGTCTTCAACCGAAACTGGAAGAAAATTGCGGTCAAAACTCGGAAAAAATAAAGCGCCTTCCAGGCAGTTTGTGGATAGTTTTGTGAAGCGTGAGCCTGAGACTGGATCGTTGATGGATAAAACAACACGTTTACGCGCTCGTCCAGTTCGGTCGGTCGAAAATACCGCTGCGGTGGCCGAAAGTGTCAATGACAATACGTCGACGTCAACGACGTCAAAGACCTTCGTCTAAGGCCGTATAAGATTCAATTGGTTCAGCAGCCTAAGCCGCATGACCATTCAATGCGTTTTCGGTTCGCGGAATGGGCTCAGAAGCGCTTGGTCGAAGATGACCATTTTTACCGAAAAATCGTGTTTTCTGATGAGGCCCATTTCCACCTCGGTGGTTATGTTAATAAGCAAAACTGTCGCATTTGGGGCTCAGAAAATCCACACGTCGTCTTGGAGAAGCCAATGCATCCACAACGAGTGACTGTTTGGTGCGGTATGTGGTCGGGTCGGGTGTCCGCTATCGCGGCATGTTGGAACTTTTTTCTTTCTTTCTTTCCCCCAATGGAAGAGGAAGACATAAACGACATATGGTTCCAGCAGGACGGCGCTACATGCCACACCGCCAACGTCACAATCGATCTTTTGCGCGGTACGTTCGAAAATCGCATAATCAGCCGAAACGGCGATGTCAACTGGCTGCCACGCAACTGCGATTTGACCACGTTGGACTATTTTTTGTGGGGTGCCGTAAAGGATAAGTGTTACGCCAACCACCCAGAGACGATTGACTACTTAAAGCACGAGATTGAAGCCATTGAGGGCCATCGAAAATGTGTTTAGCAATTGGTTCGACCGAATGGGCTAGTGTAAAGCCAGCCGAGGAGCCATATGAACGAAGTGGTGTTTCATACATAAACCGCAACGTTAAAGCTATCCAATAAAAAAAAATTTTGAAAAATATCAACTCGTAGTTTTTTATACCGATTTTAACGCGCAAATCTTTCGTGGGCCACCTTGTACATTCTTGATCAGGATCACTAGCAGAGTCGATCTAGCCATGTCCGTCTGTCTGTCCGTCTGTCTGTCCGTGTTCTCATCAATACCTATCGACTGACCCAAAAAAAAGTTTGCCACGACCACTTTAACGCCCACAAACTTAAAAAAAATCGTAAGTATGAACGCGGGTTTCTCGGAAACTATCAAGGATAGAGAATTGGGATTTCAGATTTAGGTTTCGTAGACTTGTACGCACCGCAAGTTTGTTACGCAAATATGCCACGCCCACTCTAAAGCCCACAAACCGGCCAAGCCTGTGGCGCCCACAATTTTCATGCTATGTAAAAATTGAAATGTATTAGTCTCGTAAATACCTAATGATTGATCCAAGAAAAAGTTTGCTACGCCCACTCTAACGCCCATAACGCTTAAGTCTGTCTTACGCCCACATAACCATACATTGAGATCGCGGGTAGGTGGCGCATTTGAATCTCGCTTTGCTGCTTGCATATCTCCATTTTCCTTTGGTCCCTTAAGCTGAGTAATGGGTATCTGATAGTCGACGTACTCGATTATAGAGTTCTTTCTTATTTTTATACCCGTTACTCGTAGTGTAAAAGGGTATACTAGATTCGTCGGAAAGTATGTAACAGGCAGAAGGAAGCGTTTCCGACCCCATAAAGTATACATATTCTTGATCAGGATCACTAGCCGAGTCGATCTAGCCATGTCCGTCTGTCCGGA